CTACTTTCGTTTTCTAGTCCACAAGAGTATTAGCTTGTGCATCAAAAACCTACATCAAACGCTTAATCATATCACTCGTATAAAAGTACAATGAGTAATGAACGCAAGCAATCAAAAGAATAAAGATGTGGATACAATTCGGTGACAAAACATTGAATTATCATTACATAAAGGTATTCTTTTAGAAATTGTAAGATTTTTTTTTGGCTTTGGAATGTGTTTAATGTCGATTTTATATAAGTAGGTATTACATATTGTCAACTGTTAGTTGCCGCGTTTGTATTGCACAAGTGTCGCGGAAAATAAGTTCACGATCGTTACGGTCTGGTAGATCTTTTCTAAAGGTTCGCTTTCGAAAGAGAATACATTTCAAGGCGATATTGAGTTTATCGTTTTAAGTTCTTTTATATTTTAATGTTAAACCAAAACGTATCTAATATAAAGAGTAGATATGGTAACTTGACCTTGGTAAAATAAAGTTTAAAGAAAGACCAGTGGCGCTTCAACCTCTAGTTCTTGGCCTCAGATTTCTGTATCTGTTTCGTGATCAATTTTTTTTTCTAAGTTGGTGATCAGCCTGACACACACCGTCGATTATTGGGCCTAAGGCAAGTCGGTTTCCTCATGATGTTTTTCTTCACAGTCCCTTGGTGCATAACTGTGATTCGTTCTGTCACCCTAGGATCAAGAGGCGCTCGCTCTAGGCACTTGGACAACACAGGTCTTAAGAACAGTTTTACCCTAGTGGTAATGCGGGAAATATCATGTCACAAGAAGGGTGGGGTTTTTAATTGTATATCCCCAAATAATACTTGCTCTTACAGTGAAGCTCAGCTTTGTGAGGTTATCTGGGTACTTATAAAGAACGACGTGTATCTTGTGCCAACATGCAAGTTAGTAGCGTAGGTACCTGGAGCAACTCTGTAGGCCTAATAATTATAATGGCTTTTATGTTATCATGTTGATCAAAGTTCTGAAAACATTTAATAGGCTGGTCCGGCGCTTGCCTCGTGTGGACCCGCCTAATATCTAGATAATCAATAAAAGCAAAAGTGTGTTGCAACCATGGTCCTGTCAAGAGATCGTCTGGTGACAGTCTGAAAGTATTTAACTGTACTTTTCATTGGAATTCACTTCATAACATCGCAAGACCGATCGATATATCGGAAACGTATTTAGCTGCTTTAAACCCATTACCTAGATATAATATGCACTTAGAAATGTTACAAAGACCTAGTTAAAAACATTATCCAGTTACTAATGCTCTTACGGCAACCAGGGCGTCATACTTATAAGAATTATTTGCTAAGGAGCCTAGCTTACTACAACACGAAAATCTTGTTAGGCCATACCGAAGACTGCTAATGCTATTACCTCTGTAATATTACCTTTTCTTGGCTCATACGGCGTATTTAAATAGGTTTGTGTATATTTAGGGTAAGTAAATAATATGGACTCAATGGCTTAACGTTGGCATGATAATTTATAGGTCTTTGTAGTTATATTTTAAAATATGATAAGACTGTTTCCTGTCATATTACAAAAGATTGATGGATTGAAAATTATACATAATATTCGAGCTAATGGTCTCCATCTCGCCTATGCATACAATTAGATTTAAAGAGTTTACTTTTTCTGAAGGTCTATGTGTTAAAACTTTATCTAAGTACACAGTCCACGTGAAATACTCCAAAAATGATCCAGTACTTTATATTTAAAAAAGACACTAATTTGTATGAATCATTAGAACAGAACAATAAAAAAAAACATTGGTTATAGCGCCACGACGCGGCTTTTAGTTCTGATACTCAGATTTATGTTTCTATTTCTTGATAGGTTCAACGTCGTCAACTTATTAGATTTAAAGTATGCCCGTTTCCTCACGATGTTTTTCTTCACAGTATGAGCGGGTGTTAAATGCGCACATAGACATAAAGTTTATAGGTGCATAGACTTGGATTAAATCTGCGGCCTCGGCAATGAGAATCGTACCTACGCTGAAACCAATAGCATAGCTGTATGGATCTATAGGTTGTAATATTTGCAAAAATACTAATCACATACATACTCGTAGTTACTTTTCAAATATTTCTTAGTAGTGAAAACTCGTATAAGCAAGGGCAATGCTTAATTACTAACTATAAAAATAAAACCTGAAATGATCTAAAAACATCTGGGACCTTATTATTTAGTAAAAATGGTGCAATGTAGCTGTTTTATACCCGATGGTGGCCAATTAAAACGAAATTAATAAAGCAATATCATGTAACTGAGGAAATATCTTTAATATGCGTAAAGAATAAAATGGGTAAAACCTATGTATTATTGTAACGTTTTTAACTAAATCGTACCTCGCAATTAAGATGCGATGTATCCACCTAGGCTTTTTAAGGTAATTAATAACAATACGTAATATCGATATCAGATGGTATGGGTATCAGTACCTATTTAGCTCGTTATTTATAGAGAACGCGGTTAAAGAACATATTGTTGTCGCTCCGGAGGTTATCCCGGGATAATCCCTTCTATTGTTAGATATTTTAATGCTTATGCCCTTTATGTGACCGTTCGTATTAAGTCATACGCGGATAATCGCCGTATTATAGAGAGTTAATTTTCCATTGCCAGTACGGGGTAGGGATACCAGCTGCCTGTTTACATACAAATTCGTGACATACTTTACGTGTATATTATCATTAACTTTGAATATTTCTTAGGAATGCTTTTATTGAATATGCGAAGGAATACGGGTTAGAATTAAATTTACACTAGGCCTATATAAAGATGTTATGAAATAAAAGATAAATTGTTTATGGATGAAGCTTCTTGCTCTTGTTTAAATAATTGAAACTTAAGTTTTCAATTGAACCGAAAATCGATAAACTTACCAACATCTGTCTAATTATGTTGATCACATATATGAAAAGAAAAGCGCTTACTCTTTGTATCTAAATTTCATATTAAATAAAATTCAAACCAATTACGAGTATGGTCAAATTATATAATATAATAATAAAAATAAGGTAAACCATACGCTGATGGCGTCATTGTCACGCATCATGGAGTGTGCCAATATTTGCTCGAACAGGACACCGTAGAGACGTTTCCGGTCCATGAAAGTATCGTATTAACTATTTAAACATTGGATTCCAAGTTTTATCGTTGGCAGATGGTCGACACGACTAATTACATCAATTACAGGCAAACAGACGAGCGCTCGGGTTTCTAGTTCCCACCTTTGTCAATATTTGCGTGACTCTACGGCCTACTGGGGGCCATGCTACGCTCAATGCATTACTTTTCATACTAAACTGGGATCTATTTATTGTACAATTGTTTATTGGTTTTTATGGTTACATAATCATAGTTTATTGTGGCTAAAGAGGTAACTAGATTTACGTAGTAGGTAAATAAATGTATATTTAGGACCTGAAACAACCAGAGTATATAATAGCTGAATTTGTTTACGTTCGTGTTCATGTATGTATACGTACATTATGAGAAAAAATTAACTTGTCGTTATCCTAATTATTGTAAAATTGTTAGAAGACAAATAAAAAAAGAACTAGAAGGTAATAGTAGAAAATAAATATCATAGAAACATCTATTAGTTAGGTAAGTACTCAGGTATCTCATTCACTCAGTTAAAAATTGTCTCAAGAACCTATATTTTATGAATGTCTTTCCATGAAAATGTAGGAGGAAGATTATTATTTCCTATCGCGTGGCATCTTGACAATGAACAATCCTTACCCAAAACCTTTGTAGGATATGCTTTTTTGTGATTAGAGACTGTTCTTTTTTCTTGGTTCTTTAGCGTCGTTGTAAAACGTTGAGCCTATAGTGGGTGGATCAGAATTATATTGTTAGCGTGGTAAGCTGCAAAAAGGCGAACACGTCACACAAGCCTCAGGCGAAGCTTCCACAAACGCGACTCAATTCGTTAGATATCAAACTAATCCGTTCACAATTGTAACGTAAAGATCGTATTGTAGCTTTATCCAAGGGTATTACTATTTGTCTGTTTATGTGCACCACCAGCCATGTGAAAGAAATAACCTTGTAGGTATCACTTTTGTATACGTTGATGAGTGTCTTTAAGCTCCAGCTTTCTTATTTCACCTAAACATACTTAAAATCTAGAGATATACCTTTATATTAGAATTAGGTCTGACAAAGCATATCTAATTAATAGATAGGTTAATGCAAGTTCTAAAATCTCGTGAAGTAATATTATATTGGTGGACAAATCTATGGGTAGTGGTTTTAAATAGTAAGTTTAAAGAAGTCTTTTCATATAGATACTACTTACACGTACCTACGTAATAATTTTTACGCAAATCTTTTTTACGTAACATTTTAGCCAATATTGCTAATAAAACGTTATGTTTATAATTATAAAATCAAAGTCAATTTGATGTTGTATATAAAATTCGTTAAATATTATACACGTGCTATACGGAACATACTTAATATACTTAGATATCAAATATTTTCTATGACTATATTATATAACTCGATCTCTAAAGTTATCAGGTAGATATACATACGACATGTATGATATTTCCTGAATGTATTTAATACTTGAGTATTTCGTATTACGAGGAGGGGTTACCGGTTGTAAATGTTTGGGAGCGTCGTATTGTCACTTCCATTAAGCTCCGCGAGGGGCGGAGTCCCGCGGTATACGCCCACCGCCCGCCCTGCGTCACAGCTCCCCACACGTCCTCGGCCGCGACACCGGGCCGCTGCTCCGCGATTCACTTACACGATTTACTCGCAATCGCATCACATCTTATTATCCAATAATTATATTAATCGCTTATTGATATCACTATTTACTATCAACCTGTGAATCACCGAAAAAAGAACAATTAGTTATTTAGAAACATAAGGATTTAAAGTGCATTGTGTTAAGTGTAGTATGAGTGTATAATGCAGTGTGAGGAAGGCATATCGTGGGAGCGGTGAGAGTGGCGTGCAGCGTGGCGGAGCGTGAGATGGGCGGGGCGGGCGCCTGGGGCCGCGACGCGCCCGCGCTGCTGAGCACGGCGCTGCTGCTGGGAGGCGCAGGCGCAGGTTCCCTGGCTGACCGCCCTCCACCGCCGCTCTTCACCATCGACAGCATCCTGGCGCCGCGACCGCCGCCGCAAATACCGCCGCTGCAGCTTCATCACCTTGCTCACACACCCTTCCATAGAGCACACGAGCTTTTCGGTACGTGTAAGTATGATTTATTGTTTTTATTATATTAAATCACATGTTTTTTACCCTTGTATTCTGCACATCGCCCTCGCATTCAACAACAACAAACATCTTAAAATAGCATTACCTATGCAGTCTACTATTATTAATCATGATAGGAAACGTCTGAACACGAGGTGACTTTAATTGAACTGTATTTTTAACGATAGCTAAATAACAGTATAGAAAAAGAAAGAGATTTAAGTATATATACAATTTTGTTATTCTAAGATGCGGTCCCCTTCCGGGAGAAGGCCTCTTCCAACTTTTCCCACCCTATTTTAACCTTTGCGGTCAGTATTCAACTTTTTGCCAGCTACCCTTTCAAATTGCTTACTTTTTAAGTTACTTGGTTTAGTATTTCAGTTACCTCATAATTAATAGTTTATGTTAACGAAATATCTCAATTACAAATGTAAAGTACGAGCTAAGTCGTTAGAATTTCTTAAGAAAAGCTGCTGTGAAATTTAGTCAGTATCTACAGAAAAATTTACTACTCGTGATAATCAGAATTAAAAGTTAATAAATGACACATATATACAGGTACATCATATTATCTTAAATCATCATTTAAAACTAAATATACATTAGAAAACATTTTATGTAAGTAAATAAAAAAAAATCCGTCCTAAACATCCATAAGTGGTCTTTACTTAAATAAATAAAATGGTTTAATAGATAAAAAATTTATATTTATAGTAAGTTTATTTTTAATATGAAATAATACAATGATCTAGGTATTGTTTTTGGTACCTATATATACCTAGGTAAAATATAATAAGTAAATACTGTAGATATACTGCAGCGTCTCGTGCACGCGCGTTGTCGAAGCAGGTTGTTGCCTTAGATGGAATCTTCACTCGCGTTCTGTGTCCGTAGACCTGTCTGTTGTGTTGGCAACGCATCTTCAACCGTCTTCATGTCGCTGTCTGTTATTCGTTATAATGAAAATAATTAATTTTACTAACGTTGAAAGAATCTTGAAAATAGTAACATTCAAATAAAAACCAAAATTACAAAATTTAAAAAAAACATTTTAAAATAGTTCATGTATTTCAAAATGTGCTGAACAATGCAGTTATTTATTAATTAACTGTATGTTTTTCCCCCCGCGACACAAAACATTTTTTTTTAGTTTACTTAAACGTTTAATGTTAGTTGTTAAATTATAGCTTTGCTACGGTACATGAAGAAGGCGTTTGGTGTTAAAATTATACAATTTAATGTCTATGAACACAAGTTCTGTTCGCCCGATCATAGATATGCCACCCCAGACCATGCACGAACCGCCTCCAAAGGCAACACGCTCCTCAATGCAACTTTGAGCATATCGCTCCCCACGTCGACGATATACTCTTCTGCGACAATCTGCAACATATAAACATGTCCTACACTCGTCTGTGAACAATACGGAGGCCCATTGCTCATCTGTCCAATTTTGGTGATCACGCGCAAATCTTAAGTGAGCTACAGACAACTTTGAACCATTTGCTGGTCTAAAAGGGGTGATATCCGCTTCCTTTAACCTTCTTCTTATTGTTCGTGCACTAACGTTTACTCCACGCACTTCATTTAGCTCTGTTTTGATGTTAAATGACGTGATGAATTTCGCAGGGAAGTTGTAACAATAAATCGGTCATAAGGACCGGTGGTTGCTCGAGTTCTGCCTGTACCACGTCTCATTTTGTAAGAACCTGTCTCCACAAACCTTCTGTATATTCTAGAAACCGTAGACTGGTTTAAATTTAAATTTCTACCAATCGTTCGTTGATCCAAGCCCTCCCGCACCAATGCTACAATTTGAGCAGCTTGTTCGGACGAAGTATCCATATTATGGTTCAGAAACTCTCGATGAGTTAAAAAGCTAAGCCAACAATTCTGCTGGTTACAATAATTCAATTGTCATAAGAATAAAAAATCAATAAGAATCAATTTTAAAAAACACGCAAATCTGATACTACGAGTAAATTTTCTTTTCCCGGCTGTATTCATTTGTTTTACTACAGTTCTATTTTTAAATATTGTTTTTTTTTAAGATTAAAGGCCAGTCTCTGCATATTTATATAATTTAATTTTAAAAGTTTGCATACTTATTAAAAAAATCATTTCAAAGTAATCCTGAAGTTTGATGCAGTTTATGAGTCCGTCAGTATATATATGTAGTTATATATTTTTTAATTATGTCTTTGTCGTTAATACGTCAAAAACTTAAGTTTTGTATATTATATGAACTTGAATTTCTTCTTCTCCTTTTTGTAAATTGCATTTTCTTGTTCATCATCCTGCAGCTATTAAGCAATGCACTAATCGCCCATGTCTGTGTATATGAATGGTGACAAAATTGTCTATGCCCCATCCGGATACTGTCTGTTTGTTTGTATGTTATTGTCTTTACTTTTTGTTTATCTATTTATTCCACTTGGATATGTCTTGTTGTAGTTGTCTGGCGGCTGTCGCCCAAGTCGTCGTCTTTGCCTTTTAAATGTATTTGTATAGTTTTGTAATGTATAAAATGTATTTGTATTTTTTTGTTATATATTTGTAGAAATGGTGAATATTTTTTATATAAACCACCTAAGTTTTGTCGTGTAGTCTATCTTATATGTCTGTATTTTACGTCTTTCTTTGATAGTGAAGTCGTAAGTTTTTAGTAGTGGGTACAATAGTGATACAAGTAATTTGTTATCACAAAAAGTCATGGTCTTAAAGTTATGTATTGAATGTCAGGAGTATCTGAATAGTATATGTAATGTATGTATGAGCAAGCTGCACGAGATGACTAAATATATATGAGGGTGCGACGTAATAACCTAACAACCCTACGGATCCCTAAGCCCTACAGACGTACCCTAACACATAAATAGTGAATTGGTATATAAATAAGTACGTAATGTCTGCACCAAGAGACCTAAGGTAACAGACGGAGCCCTTTTGAGAAGAAGCGAGAAATGAATAAGACAGAGCAATATTCAAATCTGATTTATTATTCAACGACATTATCTTAAATACTAATTACACCTATTCACACATACATAATATTATTCTAGTGAGCTGTTGGTGTATAGCGCATCTTCAGCTGTTAAGATTTGGAACACACGTGAGCTATATCCGCAGTTGGTCAATGTTTAAATGAAATCTGAACAGTATATATTATGTGCGTGTTGGAAATTAATGATATTTAATTTATAAATAAATATATCATATGTATATTTTTTAATTCGAACTGCTACGCCAAAGTATGTAAATATAATTACTTATACAAAATTTCATAAATACCAATGTCTCAACCAAGTTCTCATCTTAATTCTTTTTTAGAAAAGAGATAAAGTGATAATCCCCTTTTCTTTTGGTTATATGGATTGTATAATTTCTATACTTTCTACCTGCTCTGTTATAATAATATAAACGAAGCCGCATTAATTCGATATTCTTAAAAATTACATAACAAACGGGTTGTTATTTCCGTTTTTTTTGTGTTCTGCAGTATGGATTTCTCCATCCATGTCTCCCCAGAAACTTTAACTATGTCGTCAACTGTTATTAAGATATTAAAATAGATAAGTAGGAATATTAATAAATTATACAATTTCGTCAGGATAAGGAAAGATTGAACTGTTTGGAAACAGTGTAAGCAAAAGCTTCATAGGCAGTTTCCTCATTATTTCCATTGCGTGTAAATTGTATGATTTTGATTGGAACAAAAGTACTTAAAAATATTTTATAATATTGATTTATATTCAGTCTTAGCTAATTGAAAAAGCAACTACATTGAACCCCTTAATCTACAGCTTACACGCGTAAAGTCTACTGTTATAACGCTTTTGATCGATTGTTACATAATATTTTATAAAGATCATTTAAGAATTTCACCTTAATATTATTTATTTGTACAATCCGCTAATAGATCTATTTTATTGAAACCGGTTATACCATTATAAATACTACGACGAGACAGAGAAAGGGTTGTTATTGGTTAACTGCGTTAGATTACACACAAAATGTATTCGTGCTTTAGTTTTAGCTTGTATTACCTTTATAAAGTAAAAAAAATATATATATCTTTCTTATTGAGGTAAAAAGGGTAACCTACATAAAAGTTATATCATATCTATTTTTATCTATTTTCTCAATTAAGCATACTTTGGAAGTAACCTTACTTGATCGACAACGTTTTTTGCGACGGGGACAACATCTTATCATGTTTGAAATGCCCATTTATATTTATTTTTCGTTTAATGTTACGAACTATTAAATGTCACGATTCGTCTACTCACTTTGCTTAAATACGAACTAGAAATACTGAGCCCCGGGCGGACCCTCGCGTTACGTTAGGGGGAGACAGGGTTTATCTCAATTAAAGTATTTTTCTTCAAGAAAAACACTTTTAAACTTCAAAACATCTCCAGGGCTTTGGATGTTCGCAGCGGGGAAGTAAGAGAAACATTTTATTCTTGCAAAATAAAGGGAATTGAGAAGCCATGTATCTATAGACATCATCTTTGAAGTATATGGCTTCCAAATTCATTAATTTTGACAAATATGATTGTTTGGAACCATTTTTGAACACGTCTGACTAACGAATCTTACTTACATGTACTATTAAATAGGTATTTAAAAGGCGCATTTTTCCAGCTCAAAAGATTAAGATTATTTATTCTCCACTTCTCCATAGAACTGTAGTCGGATAATGAGTCAAAGGCACTCAGTAAATGGAGGTCCTCTGTGATGACGGTCGGCAATTACGACTGTCAAAAAACATAGTAGTATACATGGGTAGGTTTTAGTTTAAGTAATTGAAAAGGAGAAGATAAACCTATATTATGTCATTTATTTTGATTTACTTCGAAAAAATAAACACGTAAACATGTAGGTACGGAATGTATAACATCGATAGCGCTTAGTGCCGCCGGCGTTAAAAGCTTTCATATTTCTATTCGAAATAATACAACGTAATACCAATATTAAAGGAAATATGCAAAAATATTCAATTCTTATTTACAGCGGTATTTTAAACGCTTGGCGAGGTCCGCCGGGGCTCATGGCTCCAGGAGGGCATTAAGCCGGGATATTCACGCTCCACTCGCCTTCCCGCATGCTAATTCTAATACAGTCTGACGTACGTCTCACCTCGTTTTTTTTAAGATTTTATAGTGAGTGATAAGGGAACCTCGTAAATAGGTTACATATTGTCATATTTGAAATGTGCGTTTTAAGACTTTTCTCACTTAATTTTTACAAAGAAAAATAAATAAAATATGACATAGTCGTCAAACTTGACGATCACAAATATACTGCTCAAAACAATTAGCGGAACAAGATTTTTCTCCTTTCTATTGCTTAAACTAAAATTAGATTTAAATTAACTTGTACGCTATTTTTTACCTTGTTAATTTGTTAATTACTACAATTAATAAAAAAAATCAATTGGTTTTTTTTTTATTAAAAAAAAAAATTAAAATGTGCATTGTAGACGAAAAACAAAGTGACGTCTTTGAATTTTCATTACTTTCTAATCACAGAAAACACATTTTAAGTAGTTTTTTTCAATCTTTTGAGTATTAATAGAAATTGAAGTGAGCCTTTTGAGTATTGTTATTCATTGAAGCGAGTGAGTTTAGGTCATAATGCCAGATCTGACTGAATTGCATGTCTCCCGAGCTATCGCTTTGCTTGAAGAGGGTCGAACTATGCGTTATGTAGGAAATGATCTAGGAGTAGCCCCTTCTGTTATCTACAGACTTTCGGAGAATAATCACGAAGGCGTGGTCAAGGTGTAAGAGAAAAACTACACGTTTGCAAGATCGCTACATCGTCAACTGTGCTTTACGTAACCACACCACAACTGCAAGAGATCTACAAAATACACTAAGGTGGGCTACTGGTGTAGAAATTTCCGACCAGACGGTAAGAAATAGGTTGTTGGAAGCCAATTTGAGATCACGCCGACCAGTTCGGGCAGTGCGTCTAACAATTCAACATAGACAAGCTCGCCGACAGTTCGCGCAAAATCACGCTAATTGGCAACTTCGACATTGGAGGCCAGTGCTTTTTACTGACGAATCACGATTCCGTCTAACACGTTGCGATGGTCGTCTCCGTGTTTACAGACGCCCAGGCGAGCGATACAGTGCAGCAGCAGTCCAGGAATATGACAAATTTGGATGTGGCTCTGTGATGGTTTGGGGCGTAGTTAGTTTGGACGAGCGCACAGATCTCGTCGTTGTTCCCGGGCGCTTGTGTGCTCAAACTTACATTGAAAATGTGCTCGAAGACCATGTTTGGCCCGCAGCATATGGTATGGGCCCAGATTTTCTTTTAATGCAAGATAATGCCAGGCCGCATACTGCAGCCATCACGTCATATTACTTACGACATCAGGAAATCCGTGTAATGGAGTGGCCTTCCATGAGCCCTGACCTAAATCCAATTGAACACATTTGGGACTTGCTTGACAGGCGCATCCGGAAGCGTCCGATTGCACCTCAAACACTGCAGCAGCTCACTGAAGCGTTGATTGAAGAATGGGAGCGAATTCCACAAGAAGATATTCGGAGGATCATACGAAGCATGCCGCGTCGTTGTCAAGCCGTGATTAGGGCTCATGGAGGCCACACACGTTACTGAAAGTCACTAAAGACGAATATTCAAACGATATAAGAATATTTCTTTGATGGACCTTTTTTATCACCAATTAGTTTTTCGTCTACAATGCACATTTTAAATTTTTTTTAATAAAAAAATACAAATTGATTTTTTTATTAATTGTAGTAATTAACAAATTAACAAGGTAAAAAATAGCGTACAAGTTAATTTAAATCTAATTTTAGTTTAAGCAATAGAAAGGAGAAAAATCCTGTTCCGCTAATTGTTTTGAGCAGTATATCTAAACACTAAAATCTTCAAAAGATTAGCTTGTTATGTGTTGCCCTAGTTATACTCAGTACCAGTGGTTTATCGTGTCATATTGTGCATACTTATATTCGACGTAGAATTTAGATATAATCTAGACATGTATGAAACCAAACGTGCGCAGCATCGAGCTAAATTAAATTAGTTTATAGAACTTGGTATTTGAGACTTCCGACGGCAACCAACATAATTAGCTCCTTAACGATAATAAAATCATATTGAAAAATATGTCGAATCAAATTTTGTGACGTCAAATTAAATCGTGAGGTTTCACGGTTTTTTCATGCTTATTTGCAGGTGTCAGTAACGCAGTTACGAATGCAAACAACTATGCAAATCTATATGGTGGCTACGCGGCGGCAGCGCTGGCGGGTTTGTCGGGTCCACCTCCAAAACGTAAACGTAGACATAGAACTATCTTTACCGAGGAGCAACTAGAACAACTGGAGAGTACTTTTGACAAGACTCATTATCCTGATGTCGTGTTAAGAGAGCAACTGGCGCTGAGGGTGGACTTGAAAGAAGAAAGAGTTGAGGTACGTACAATGATTATACAAATTCTGAAAACTGAGAAAAAATTAATAAAAGCTTTTCCAATATTTAAGTGTAAAGCGACAGGTAATCAGAATTGTTGCGCAAGTAGGAAATGCAGCTCAGTCCTAATTAAAACTGTTTTGTGCAAGCACATACGTAAAAAAAATTAAATTTGCAAGTTAAAATGTTAAAAATGCTTATATTAACTCGTTCAGATATATTTTACAAATCTACTATTAATTACTGAAGACTTGTGTATGTATCGAAGTAGTTTAAAAATAAAACTACGGTACAGAAAGGTTAATAAACAGAAAAAGTAAATAAGTAAACACAAATGACGTGACATTTCTACACGCCAACAAAATGTGGGTGGCCTTACCAAAAAACTGTATTATGTTGAAGTATCTCGTTCAATAGCATAATCTACTAATAGCTTTCTATTTTTTATCCTAATTTTAAAATCCTCAATGAAATGATTTTGTCTTAAAATATTTAAATAACAATACAAATAAAAATTATAATATAATTAAATTATAGATATTATCTATTAGTTAACGCCAAAAAGATACGAAACAACTGTAACAAAAACATTGTTATATGCACTTTTGCACAAAAATATAACGAAAATATAATATTTGGTGCACCTAGAGATCAGAAAACTAAAGGTATTCTATATAGCTATATAAATAATATTGAGTCACGACTTAAACGGTGATAAACAAGAAAAGTGCGTATTTCTGCTACTGACATAACAATTAAACACGTATTAATATAATTTACACGTATACTATATATTTCTCAGTTTTGAATGTATTGTATTTTTATTTAATGTAATACAAATAATTGTCTATTAAAGTCTATTCTTAAATTTGACATATTATTGTGGTTATGAGAATTTGAAAGCTAAGCTATTTTTTTTTCATTTTTCTGTGGCTAAGACGTGAGTTAGGGATGTTTGCGGGCTACCGGTGTTCCGTTAAGTGTGTGCTGACCACTCCAGCGCTCTCCAGTCAGCCACCCAGACCGATTCTTTATTTGACTGCCCGCATTTCTTTTACACCTTGTGCAAATTGGTTAACGTACTTATTCGGGGCTTTCGAAATGGTGTCCTGTAACTTCACCTTGAATTAGATTGAAGGCGTGGACTTCTTGAATTCCTTAACTTTACTGCAAGAATTCAGAATAATTATAATAATTATAATAAACTATCTTAGAACAAATCATTTATACTTGATTCATATGAAAACTCACTTTAGTACGAGTACTGTCATTTGCTTCAACTTTATATTGTTTAAAATGCAGGCTATTTTCCGAATATGGGATTGGTCTCTGAGAAAACAAGTTTCTGTGACAAATGGCAAATGAGGAGTTACACAGGAAAAGGTTAAAATTATATGAAATGTATGACGAAAAGCAATATAACACTAGTGTGGAATTTAGGGAATATGTTAGGTTGTATTCAAATAATTTCAAAAAAGATTGCAAAATTGCCAAGTCGCAATATTTAAGTTCAAAAATAAAAACAGCATGGATAAAGTGAAAGCTACCTGGAAAATAATAAATGAAGAATCAGGTAAAACGTCTGACAAACGAACCGATTATATGTTAAAAGGTAAAGGGAAATTAATAAAATCTGACCCAGAGGTAGCTTCTACTTTTGAAGAGTTTTTTACAAATGTACCACTAAATACGACCAAGTCCCTAGATTCTTCACCTGCTGCTGCGATCTCATTGCTCAAAAAATGTGTACCTGAATGTAATATTAAATTTCAGTTTAAACATATAACTTGTAATGATATCGTTAAAACTTTTAAGCTTATTAATTTAAAAAAAGTAAAGATATATGGGGTATGTCAACAGTCATTTTAAATACCGTTATTAATGTAATAAGCTCTGAATTGTCTATAATTTTTAACAGATGTATCGATTGTGGAGTCTTTCCGGACGAAATGAAATTAAGTAAGATTACACCGTTGTTCAAGGGAGGTAGTGAGTCTGATCCGTCAAACTTCAGACCTGTTTCCGTGCTCCCCGCGTTGAGCAAAGTTTTTGAAAAGATAATGCTAGACCAGCTTACTTTACATTTTAACAAAAATAAACTCTTACATAATAAACAGTATGGTTTCACTAAGGGTCGCTCCTCAATCGATGCAGGTGTGAAGTTGATTTCGGACATATTTAACGCCTGGGAAGAATCATATGATGGAGTCGGCGTCTTTTGTGACCTGTCAAAGGCCTTTGACTATGTTCATCCTGATATACTCGTTGGAAAGCTTAAACACTATGGCGTTGATGGCAAACCTTCCAGCCTGATGAATTCATATTTAAAGGGAAGGATCCAAAGAGTTCATGTCAATGGAGTCACCTCTCCGGGTTCGCAGGTATTAATGGGCGTCCCCCAAGGATCGATTCTCGGGCCTTTCTTATTTCTGATTTACATAAATGACCTCCCATTTTTTGTCAACGAAGTTCATGAGATGGTGTTGTTTGCTGATGACACTTCACTTCTATTTAAAGTGAATAGGAATAACGTATTATTGGACGATGTAAACAATTCTATCTCTCATATAGTTAACTGGTTTAATGTAAAAAACTTACTGCTTAATGAGAATAAAACAAAATATATTAGATTTACAACTTCTAGCGTAAAGCGAGATATTGGTAACCTGAAAATTAAGGACAGTGAACTAAACTTTGTTGACAAAACTGTTTTTCTAGGCATAACAATAGATAGTAAACTCCAGTGGGGCCCACACATAGAGACTCTTTCGAATAGGCTGAGCTCTGCAGCATATGCAGTAAAGAAAATCCGACAGTTTACTGATAAGGACACGGCTAAAATTGTGTATCATAGCTACTTTCACAGCGTTATGTCGTACGGTATTCTACTGTGGGGTGCTGCTGCAGAGATTCAATCCATATTTGTGCTGCAGAAGCGGGCTGTTCGGGGTATTAGTTGTGTTTCTCCGAGGGATTCAGTATGGAATAAGTTTAAGGAATTAAATATTATGACACTATCTGGTCAATATATTCTTGAAGCCTTGTTGTATGTCCAAAAAAATATAAACGATTTTAAAACAAATGGTGACTCACCAGTATAATACGTGAAATAGAACTAATTTGAGTGTACGACCAACCAGGCTCCAAAAGATAAACCACTCCTTATATGGAAATTGTATTCGTTTTTACAACAAACTCCCAAGCGAAATTAGAGAATTGTCACTAAATAAATTCAAAGCCCTCGTTAAACGGAAATTAATCAATAAAGCTTTTTATAAAGTTGAGGAATACTTAAATGATCCTAATCCTTGGGATTGATTTGCTCCAGTTCAAACAATTTGTATGACAATACTTGGCGATTAAAAAGAGTGGCGGAAAGTTTCTTGCCAGTTCTTCTTACCCGCTCTACGCCCTTGACTTGCGAACTGGTAGTAAATGTAAATTTACAGTTAATTTAACTTGACAATTCATAAGTGTAATTGTTTACCTACATGAATAAAGACATTTTGAGTTTTGAGTTTTTGAGTTTTTATGACAGCATGCAAATAAGTAATATGAATTTATTAAAATTACAAATATTTCAAACTCCCGGTAATCTTTCCAGTTAAAACTACCAAATGTTTATAAAATAAAAAGGTTCATGATATAACGGAGTTCACAGCAGGTAATAGTAACAAAGTTCAGTTAATTTGTACTTATTTTAATTTCCGAGATAAAGTTAGAATGATTAATTTAATTGACTACAGTTTCACTATGGCTTCGCAGGAGTAGGGAGCGGACGACACGTTCTAAGTGTAAACTTTTTATTAAAGAATCCATATAAAATCGAGCAATACAGTTTAGAATGGAGAATTTTACCTCCGGCAAAATAAAAAGGGACCCTCTATCAGAGGCGGGTGAGACGGCGGCGCCGCGAAAATTAATCTGAGTTAATTAAATTTGATTTATTTATGCTAGCCTGAGCCGAAGGCTGCGAAAACGTTAAAAGCACAACAATGCCGCTAATGAGGGTCACTTATAGGGCTTTTTCTTGGATAACGGATTTTTCCCGACTTACGCAACTTGCAACATTGTTTTCTTTTCAAGAAATTTCCTTGTTACGCTGATAACATAATTTTTTAATTTCAAGTTTTTATATTTTGTTTATAACGCAGGTACTTACGTTTAATTAATATATTGAAACCAGCGGGTTTATCTTGGAAATACATAACAAAACACACATCGTTACCTTATTATATTTTTAAAAGTATGTAAGTATGAATTTAAAAGTATGTTGAATAATACATACCTATATTCGAGTTTTATGTTCCACATATGTAGTGTCCTGTAACAGGGAATTATTGTAATTTAATAAAAAAAACATACGAAAAAAAGCGACTAAAAATGTGTTGTTAAAGTAAATTGGCGGTTTCGTTGTTCCCCTGTTATTTACGCAGCGGCAATTGGAAACTGCATTATTAAATCGCTTTTGTTTAGGCATCAAAACACTTGTTCTAAATCGAGTTTTCGTTCGTGTAACTGTTTTGTTTGGCACAAAATAATTTATTTATATAAATAAAATATAGAAGTAATTTTACTTTTTTAACTGAAAAAAAGAGACGCTTCCTCTACGTATTACTCTTCGTAAAAATGGCTTGTTTTAGGAAGATTTTTATATATACCTACCCTTCTACCCTACCCCTTGTAGTGACAGCTAAGTCAAGTAATATCCAACCTGCAGGTATGTACAAATAAATGGACCATTTCTTCTTACCACATTTATTAACTTGCCAAGTCCCTTCCACTTCAGTTTCTTAATAGTCGTTCCAATGCAAGGGGCATACATTCTTGCATAGTGGCTAAGATCCTGATTTCTCCATCTATCTTTTTTCGACCATGCTCCTTTCCATTGCATATAGGTTTGTTGCCGAATAAGTGTCCTCCGATAAAATTTTATTCTTGAAATCTCTTGATGGTAAAATTATTTGGCAAAGCTACAGGTACTCTTCTTCTTAGTTTTATT